GCAAAACAAAAGGCAAACGAGCAACCACAACTCCAAATAACTTTCATGTTCAAAAAGGAGCAGGAAGAAGCATAAGCCTTTTTAATCCCACCCCTTTTCCACTATCTAGTATCAATATACTACAGAAATACCTCCTTGCAATTACATTATATGTCATGTGTATTTTTTTTTTCTCATTTTTTTTTAAATATATATACATATATGTTTCTATCTATCCATACATACGTATATACACATACGCACATATACACATTTTCAATAACCCCATTAACACCTCAAGGATACACAACCTACAAATATATATATATACCCATACCAACATACCCGTGCACCCGCACACACATGAAAATATTAGACAAGAACACCCTATCAAATCTCTACCTTTTCCCTGTACCCTGTAAAAACCATATCCTTAAACCGCTTTTTAAACTGTGCCATGCTCGGACATTGCTTCATATCTTTACTTAGTCTGTTCCACAGCTTCACTCCACACACAGAGATGCAAAAACTTTTAAATGTTGTATGGATACGAGGATGTTTTAAATTTAATTCCCCCCTCAAATTGTATTCCCGTTCCCTTTTAGAAAACATTTTTAGAATATTGTCAGGAAGCAGGTTATTTATTGCTTTATATATAATTCGTGCTGTGAGAAAATGAACCAGATCTGTGAATTTTAGAATTTTTGATTTTAAGAATAGTGGATTTGTATGATCTCTGTAACCAGTTTTATGGATTATCCTTATGGCCCTTTTTTGCAATATAAAGATTGATGATAGCGAACATTTGTAAGTATTGCCCCAAACCTCTGCACAGTAATTCAAATACGGTGCAATCAGGGAACAATAGAGAATGTGGAGTGATTTGTGCAGAATGTGTTTTACTTTACTTACGATTGAGACACTTCTTGAAATTTTGTTATGTATATGATTTATATGAGATCCTTAGATGAAGCCGAGAGCACGAACTCAGGAGATTCAACGTTCCAGCGGTGAGCTGCTCTGTGCCACTGCCTTAAATAGCAGCTGGGGAACTCAGCCAGAGCAGCAGGTGGTGACAATCACAGGTGCGTGGGCCAAGAGCAAGAACCTGTAACGAGCTCCGCCCAGACAGAGAGAAGGAGAAAAACAACAAAACCTGTAGCCAGTGTGAACCAGCCAAAGAGATAGAGGGACCATGACAGAGGATACTAACACATGGTATGAAAGATTTCCCCTATCTGTCCTTTAACGAAGGGGCTTTACTGTCTGTCTGTAGAGGTGAGGGTGATGGTCAGGGTTATGCACATTGGATAACAATTTGTTCTCTTTGTGGTATTTTCTTAACTTTAAACAATGAACAATGAACAGAGTGTTATTCTTTTTTTTATATAAAGGAACCAAAAATGGTATTTTCCTCTTTTTGATAACACAAAATGTATCAGAATCATCCTGGGAACTTTAACCGTTTATGTTAAAACAGAACATAAACAGTTCCCTCGGCTCCATGATATCTTCTTCACTCACACCATCAGATATTTGAGGCTGCTCAACTCCCCTCATGCATTCTTCTCTGTCCATTTCAATAAACTTTTTTAGGTAAAATTACTAAACATTACTGAAATCTTACCAAATCAAAGTTAAGGTTCTCAAACTGAAGCTCCAATTTTTAGTTTTACCAGCATAATTATAATATCTAATAACTTAACCACCTTTTGCACCATAAAATGTGGAAGCTGTAAATCTTGTCATTTTGAAAATCTAATCTGTGTGCTCTGCCCAGCCCCCACAAATATGGGGGCTAGTGATGGGTCAGTCGCAAACCAAACGACTCTTAGAGCCGGCTCTTTGAAGTGAATGATGGGAGCTGGCTCCTCATTGGGAGCCGTGTTTTTGTTTTTGTTTTTCTTTCTCTCACCCTCTCTCACACACCTTTTTTCGCATCACGCCGGACGTGATTGGTCAATATGTGTTTGTGCCTTGTGTTTTTGCTGATCACAGGAGGAAGGGGCGGTAGTTACACTCGCAGCAGCAGTAGCACACGAACAGAGCAGGAGGGAGTGAGAGAAAGAGAGCCGGGGCAACAACAAGAGACAACATCGACACATTAGAAAGATATAATAAAGAAAATGAATGACACCAAGAAAGAAGCAAAATCTGGAACCATTTAAATTTTATTGACAATACAAAGGCAGAGTGTCTGCAGAGTCTGCAAGAAAAGAGTGTCATGTAGAGCCGGCTCTACAAACAACCAGCAGCACAGGCACCTGAGAACTGTCCACCCATCAGTGCAATGGAAAGATAAAACACAGTCAGTTGAGCGTGATATTATTGAAGGTGCCAGTGTGTCTACTGCAAATGTTGTTGTTGGTGCTGCTGCTGCTGCAGTATACAACCACCTAAACCAACCCAGAGCTCTATGAGACAGTTTTTGCAAAGTTGAATTATAAATAGTTGTTATATATTTATATATATATATATATATATATATATATATATATATATATATATATATATATATACATATATATATATATATAATTTTTTTTGTGTGGAGTGAATAAATAAAACCATTGTGGCGGAGGTGTGGTCTCGGTTCTGCTGCAGTTTGTGTTGCCATAAATAAAAGGGCTGCTGCCCAAACATAACGCCAGTGTGTGTGTGTGTGTTCCGGGGTCCTGTGTCACAAGCATATTTATATATTAAACATATATAAATAAAAAGTCATTCATTTTGTGCATAATTTTATATTGTTGTTGATAATATATTAATTAAAGCAACAAAACAACCTGAAGAGCTGCTTGGGAGCCGAAAGAGCCGGTTCTTTTTAGTGAGCCAAGCTTAAAGAGCCGGTTTTCTAAAAAGAGCTGGAATTCCCATCACTAGTGGCATCAATAGATTTTAATTGATAGCTCAGGATGGCCTCTTACAGGATATTACAGTAGGACTTATATGAATTACAAGAATGGTGCTTTATGTAAAGGTCTCACACTCATTTCCTGGCAAAAATTAATTGCCGAGTCTTTGAAGAATATGGGAACCCAGGGACTCATATTTGTCCACCACAGCAATCCACCTCAACATCCTGTCCCTGAACAGACACAGGTCACGTAGCCATCCTTTCCCTTAAGAAGTCAATCACCATCTAAGGTGTTATTCAGTTTCAGTAGCAGTTATTGCACTGATGGTCTGATGTGTTGCTGTTTTTACTGACATTTCCTGTAGCTTCATGTTGTTGAGTCCTTTTAAAAGCACAGAAATTACAGAAGCTGATCCTTACAAGGCAGTTGTAAGCTCACTGCAGCATAGATGATCCACTCCCAGAATTAAGCTGTATGCAAATTGCACAGAAGTCTCTCTAGTGCATTCGTCACATGTGATATGGGGGCAACTGGATTATAGTCATTCAGTTCTGATGGTGTTGGATTATTCAGTACAGAACAAGGCAGCATGTTTTCCATATCTTCTCCTGAATTTCTGTTTTTGTATTTTGGTTCTGTATTCCTTATTTAGTCTTCTAGTTATGAAATTATATTTACATTCCCAGGCTTAGGACGATGCTATGTTCTGTGCCTCTAGTTTCCTGTTTGCTTTTTCTGTGGGGTTTATTTATCCCCTTTTGTATTCCCTTTCTATGCCTCCTGTCTTGCCTTGGTGCCATCCCTTCTGTGTGTCTGTCAAGCTCTGGTGTCTTTGTCTTTATAAAAGCCGCTGCAACACATGCAGGAAGGATTAGTTTAGAGCACAGCTAATGAATATTTTAACAAAGAAACCAAAACACCTTTACATGTTTCTCATCCCAGCATCAATGAGTACTTCCGTATAGCATTGATATTTTACTGGATTGTAGGGCTGTGCGATATGACCAAAATCTCATATCCCGATATAAGAATTCTATTGTCCCAATAACGATCTAAATCACAAAAATGTAACATTTTCTGTAAATTCTGTGAATCTCGACTGCGCATCATGTAGCTGGAGTTGAGTGTTTTAACCGATGTATGAAACCATACATTTTTAGACATAAGTTGTAACAGCCACCGTTTTCTTTGTGAGTATTTATTACACGGCGTGCTGCGGGGAAAAGCCTGTTCTAAAGTTTGAGTCTAAGGTTTATTTTTTAGCACCTGGCGGCTCTTTTTTAATTCTCATCCGTAAATAATCTGCTCTGTCACGTGATTCCGTTTATTTTGAAAAGTCTCAACAGGATCTTGAACTTTATTGTGAAAGGTTTATGTGGAACATAAACAAGCGGACACGCGATGGTGTTACCGTCGTTGTTGCTAACCACAACGCATAAAAACAGGAGCTTGTCCTTCCTTAGTGTGGTTATATTAAATATAAGAGAAAGAGAGAACTTTAAGAAATTATTATAGCCACTACAGTGACCATCAAAACAATGAAAAAATTGTGCCGTAAACAGTTTATTTTGCGATACCATGAAACAAACGATAGTGTAAAATGAAATGATAGACGTTTTTATATCGTCATCCGATATATATCCTTATATCGAACACCCCCACTGGATTGTACTACTTTTACTGACAATTAATAATAGTCTGCAAAACAGCTACTGCACTGCTGTTGGATTAATCTGTGAAACATATACTCAGACAGCTAGTGAGTGTTTGATAGGTCAAAGAGTTGTAAAAGTGTATGAGGAAGTTTAAAATTTAGCATAATATAGCAGAAAAAAATACACTTAACCACAAGCAATTACTCTTATACAATGAAATATGCAAAATACAAATACAACACACTGCAATAAATACTAATCTAGTAAGACGTGTAACCTTTTAAAAGTAATCAAAAAATATTCATTTAGGTTCACCAAATGTCATGCACTCCTCTGTTGCTTCATCAGTGTATATTGAGGCATTTCTGTTATTTTGTCTATTCATCTCTCTGTGTGAGTATTGCCTCATCTGCAGCAACTCAGAGGGAGGAGTAATCGAAGATAGAGAGCAAGTATAAGCAGCAACAGATAGAGATCAATTTAGAATAACGTCTGTCAGCTAAAAGAAACATGAGTGGGGGTAAGATGATTTACTTTAAATATAAAATGTATTAGCATTGAATGCTGATATGAATTCCTGCTAAAGTTATTTAGATGAGCATGCATGCCTGTTATCATTTCTGATTACAACATAAATTAAGTTAAACAAATTCAAAATTTCAGCTTGCATAAAGTACTTGACATAATCTAGTAGCATATTGGAAGTAAGGGTTGCATAGTGGATATATATATATATATATATATATATATACACACACACACACACACACACACACACACACACACACACTCACTACCGATCAAAAGTTGTAGAACACCCCAATTTTTCCAGTTATTTATTGCGGTTCAGTTCAGATCAAGCTTGAAGTGGTACATAGCTAAATGGTTGACTGCCATGGGTTAAAAAAAAGGTAAGGTTACCTAAAACTGAGAAGTAATGTATATTTTAAAATTACACAAAAAGACCTGTTTCAGCAAACACAAAATGAGTTAACAATTTAAAGCTGTTCTGCAGGAATGGAGGTTGTCATGCCTTGAAAGCTGGTACTACTAATTCCTACAGGTGTTCCAACTTTTTTGGAGTACTTACAACCCCCTTTGTCTGCATAAAAGCAGTGTTGGAACACACTGTGGTACCATAACCTCGTGAGCATCAGTTGAACAATATTGTACTGCAGAAAGTAGTGTGTTGCTACAAAATTGTGGAAAAAAAGGCAATTAGCAACGGAAGAGTGACTGACCCTTGTAACACTTAAAAATGTAGGTCTTTCCTACAAAGAAATTGCAAAGAAAGTCTAGGTGTCAGTGAGTACTTTTTCTTTCACCATCAAAAGGCACTCAGAAACTGGGGAAACTCTGACAGGAAGAGGTTTGGCACAGAGAGTTAACAGCTTGCGTGATAGACAGCTCACACAGCAACAGCTTTAAGCACAGCTTAATATTAGTCTCAGTTTTAACTTTAAGGAGAATACTTCCAGCTGCAGATTTGACAGGATGAGTTGCAGCAAGAAAGCCATTGCAAAGATGTCAGAATAAGACAAAGAGGCTTGGCCATGAAACACTACCACTGGACTACTGAATACTGGAAGAAGGTATTATGGACTGATGAATCAAAATTCGAAATCTTTATTCATCACGCAGGATCTTTGTACGCCGTCAAGAAGGCGAAGTGGTGGTTCCACAGTGTGTGGCATTAATGTCAAACATGGAGGAGGAAGTGTGAAGGTCTGGGTGTTTTGCTGGATTGAGGGTCAGTGACTTGTACAGAGTGAGAGGCACCCTGAACAAAATGGCTACCACAACATTCTCCATCACCATGCAATACCCTCTGGTATGTGCCTAGTTGGTCAGGGGTTCATCCTACAGCAAGATAATGACCCAAAACATAAGTCCAAACTAACTACCTCAGGAAAAAAGAACAAGATGGTAAGCTTGGAAACATGGAGTCACCAGCACAGTCTCCAGACCATCGAGCCAGTTTGGGATGAACTGGACAGAACAGTGAAAGCAAACTAACCTACAAGTGCCACATGTTTATGGGAAATTCTTTAACAGATATGGGAAGAACTTTCTGAAGAATATTTGATTTCTATTGTAGAAAGAATGCCACGGGTGTGTTCAGCTGTTATATTTGCCAAAGGTGGCTGCTTTGATGAGTCAAAGGTTTAGAAAACATTTTGGTCTATAAATTGATTCCATTATCTGTTTGTTTGTTTTTAACTCCAATTGTTTATTTGTACTATGCTTTCATTTCAGAATGCAATTAGAAATTAAAGTGCATAATTTTTAATAAAAAACTGAAAAAATTGGAGTGTTCTAAAACTTTTGAAGGTATCTATTTATCTATATCTATATATATATATATATATATATATATAGCGATATATATACAGTGGGGCAAAAAAGTATTTAGTCAGCCACCGATTGTGCAAGTTCCCCCACCTAAAATGATGACAGAGGTCAGTAATTTGCACCAGAGGTACACTTCAACTGTGAGAGACAGAATGTGAAAAAAAAATCCATGAATCCACATGGTAGGATTTGTAAAGAATTTATTCGTAAATCAGGGTGGAAAATAAGTATTTGGTCAATAACAAAAATACAACTCAATACTTTGTAACATAAACTTTGTTGGCAATAACAGAGGTCAAACGTTTACTATAGGTCTTTACCAGGTTTGCACACACAGTAGCTGGTATTTTGGCCCATTCCTCCATGCAGATCTTCTCGAGAGCAGTGATGTTTTGGGGCTGTCGCCGAGCAACACGGACTTTCAACTCCCGCCACAGATTTTCTATGGGGTTGAGGTCTGGAGACTGGCTAGGCCACTCCAGGACTTTCAAATGCTTCTTACGGAGCCACTCCTTTGTTGCCCGGGCGGTGTGTTTTGGATCATTGTCATGTTGGAAGACCCAGCCTCGTTTCATCTTCAAAGTTCTCACTGATGGAAGGAGGTTTTGGCTCAAAATCTCACGATACATGGCCCCATTCATTCTGTCCTTAACACGGATCAGTCGTCCTGTCCCCTTGGCAGAAAAACAGCCCCATAGCATGATGTTTCCACCCCCATGCTTCACAGTAGGTATGGTGTTCTTGGGATGCAACTCAGTATTCTTCTTCCTCCAAACACGACGAGTTGAGTTTATACCAAAAAGTTCTACTTTGGTTTCATCTGACCACATGACATTCTCCCAATCCTCTGCTGTATCATCCATGTGCTCTCTGGCAAACTTCAGACGGGCCTGGACATGCACTGGCTTCAGCAGCGGAACACGTCTGGCACTGCGGGATTTGATTCCCTGCCGTTGTAGTGTGTTACTGATGGTGACCTTTGTTACTTTGGTCCCAGCTCTCTGCAGGTCATTCACCAGGTCCCCCCGTGTGGTTCTGGGATCTTTGCTCACCGTTCTCATGATCATTTTGACCCCACGGGATGAGATCTTGCGTGGAGCCCCAGATCGAGGGAGATTATCAGTGGTCTTGTATGTCTTCCATTTTCTGATGATTGCTCCCACAGTTGATTTTTTCACACCAAGCTGCTTGCCTATTGTAGATTCACTCTTCCCAGTCTGGTGCAGGTCTACAATACTTTTCCTGGTGTCCTTCGAAAGCTCTTTGGTCTTGGCCATGGCGGAGTTTGGAGTCTGACTGTTTGGGGCTGTGGACAGGTGTCTTTTATACAGATGATGAGTTCAAACAGGTGCCATTCATACAGGTAACGAGTGGGGGACAGAAAAGCTTCTTACAGAAGACGTTACAGGTCTGTGAGAGCCAGAGATTTTCCTTGTTTGAGGTGACCAAATACTTATTTTACACCCTAATTTACGAACAAATTCTTTACAAATCCTACCATGTGAATTCATGGATTTTTTTTTCACATTCTGTCTCTCACAGTTGAAGTGTACCTCTGGTGCAAATTACTGACCTCTGTCATCATTTTAAGTGGGGGAACTTGCACAATCGGTGGCTGACTAAATACTTTTTTGCCCCACTGTATAGTGCACGTAATCAAATATTATTTTTTGTTCTTTTGCCCCATTTTTCTGTGTATGATGTATAATGTGTTAAATAATAATCTTTCTTAAAATACTTTCCTTCTTGTTTTCAGGTAACATCAGTTTCAATGCAACTCAGTCACCTGAACAAGATGCAGCTTCCACACACATACAAACAGCCTCTATTGTCATCTACTGTATGATAGTTATAGCTGGAACTTTGGGCAATGCTCTGGTTATCTATGTGACGGGCTTCAAAATGAAGAAAACAGTTGACTCAGTTTGGTTTCTCAACCTGGCCATAGCTGACTTCCTCTTCACAGGCTTCCTGATTTTCTCGATCATTTCTCTCTCTCAGAGTCACCAGTGGCCTTTTGGACAATTCATGTGCAAGCTCAACAGTTTTTTGAGTTTAGTCAACATGTTTGCCAGTGTCTTCATTTTAACAGCCATGAGTTTGGATCGTTGTTTGTCCATCTGGGTGGTGGTGTGGGCCCACAACAAGCGCACAGTCTGCAAAGCTCAGCTCATATGTGTTGGTATCTGGGTGATTGCTGCGGTCTGCAGCACTCCTTATGCCACTTTTCGCACTGTTGTGGAATACAATGGGGTACATTACTGTGGTTATTCTATGACACATGAACAGCAATGGAGTCTCCACATTTTTCGCTTTCTTATGGGCTTTGTGATCCCATTCCTGGTCATATTTGTGTCTTACGTGGCCATAGGCATACGTGCAATGCGCATGTCAAGAACAAGGAGACGCAGATCTCGCCGAATCATTTTCTCAATCATTTTTGCATTCTTCATCTGTTGGTTGCCCTTCCATGTTTGCAATTTTATAGAATTAAAGGCTGTGACTAACCCTAAAACCTTGCCCATTGTTAGAATCGTGGGTTCTCTGACTTTGAGTCTGGCTTTTCTGAACAGCTGCTTGAACCCCATCCTTTATGTTTTCATGTGTGACGAATTCATGAAGAAGCTTCGGCAGTCCATATGTTTTGTACTCGAAAGTGCTCTGGCAGAGGACCATTTATCGTTTATGTCCACTCGCTCCGTGTCATCAACCTTTTCAAGGATTTCCCAAAAGTCAGAAGCTGCTGCAACTTTGGAGAAGATCGACCCAGCTGCTTTTGAATCCTGCACAGAAAGCAAAGTAGTCATCACTGAGGAGACACCAAACCCCGAATAAAAACTTACCGTTGGCAATGTAAATTTGAATTAATTTTTTAATGTAAAATTTAATCTCAGGATGATTCAGATTGTAAATTTGTGCAAAAAAATCTAAAATGTTTTGTTGTTTTGTTTTTGTGACCCCTACTGTTTTCTTTAGATTTTTCTAACTATTCCAGGGGAAATCTCACTATGCTCCATGCAGTAGTAAGAAAACTAAACTAGCCATTATAATAGAAAACCTATGAAGCTTTGAATTGTGGTGTTTAATTTGTTAAAAATGAATTATGTAATCCATACAGTCATATTAACATTTTTGATTGAAGAACAGCTTTATATTTGTGTATATGAGTTTCTAATGCTCTAGATTATTTCATGTTTTTTAATATCAGCATCCACTGAACGGGGTATTAATTATGCACATAATTAACCAGAATAATTGTCTCATTTCTTTAAAAATTCGTAATAAACCATACCTTACAGATTTTATATTGTTATCAATCTCAAAACCCACAGTAGCCATTTGTTGTCTTATCTCTGTGTTCTGTAGCAATTTAAAATTAAATGGTCCAAAGTCGTCTTCATCACAGTGTAGCAGAGGTGGGACCAAGTCACTGTTTTGCAAGTCTCAAGTAAGTCTCAAGTCTTTATCCTCAAGTCACAAGTCAAGTCTCAAGTAATGTCAGGCAAGTCAGAGTCGAGTCTTAAGTCACTGGTGTAAAAGTCAGAGTAAAGTCACAAGTCTGAAACTTTGAATTTCAAGTCCTTTAGAGTCCTAAAAAAAAACAAAAAAAGAATGTTGCAGTTATGCTAAATGTAAATATTAGACCATGTAATTTTTAAATCTGTATTTTTCTCAACACATGACGAAATAGTGAACTTAGAAAATATACACAAATTGTGAAATTGCACCTCTATAAAATGCAGCTCAATTAAACTTAGCTCCAAGAATAATTTTCACCGACAGTTCTGAGATAAGCTGCATGTTAGTCTTGGATGCGCTTGTAGGACGGGCTTTAAAATCGGATGACAAAAATATCATACACATTAAAAAAAACTGTATCACCAATGTAGCCTGGACAACATTTGCTAGTTAGATGAAGTCAGCTATCTCATCGTAGCAAAAGAGAAGGACCACCTACTGTTCTTTATGCAACTTCAACTGTCGGAGAAAATTGGAAGTTGTTCCATCTCTGTCTGTGATTCTCTTCTTGCATGTTTTGCATACTGCATTTCGGTTTTTTGTTGACTACTTCATAGTTTATGTACCTGAAAAAAATAACTCCTTGCAGCATTTTTGAGGGTTTTTTTTTTTTCCTTTTCTTTTTTTAAAAAATCTGGTTAATTTGATTGGCTGTGCTACAGCTCACGCACACATACGTACAGAGTGTGGTTTGAATAAATGATGCACACTTTCTATATAATATGCGTGTTAAATTTTATATTTGGGGTGAAATATCAAGTCTTTTCAAGTAAACCGGATCAAGTCCAATTCGAGTCCCAGGTCATTGGTGTAAAAGTCCAAGTCAAGTCACAAGTCTTAGAACATTTTTTCAAGTCAAGTCTAAAGTCATAAAATTAATGACTAGAGTCTGGCTCGAGTCCAAGTCATGTGACTCGAGTCCACACCTCTGCAGTGTAGCATGGGGCATTTCTTTGTTGTAACATAAAAGCACCACTGATCCACTGCTCTGACAGGAAGTTTCCCAACAGAGATAAGTTTTCAGATATAACTTTGTCATAGATATTTTTAACAATTTGAGAATGTTCTTCTTCACTCGCATATTTATACTGTGTTAAACCTCCATTATTATTGTCATTAATTATACTATAAATTTGTTTTGGACATTGATTCTGATTCTAATTTCTGTTAAGATATTGCCATTGCTCAAGGATATCTCCAAAAAGGAGTTTGTAGTATATAGCTTTCCCTTTCAATTAGCCCCACAGGGCCTTGTTCTTGTTTGTTTTCCTGCTCACACAAGCACTACACACATTTTTGATAAAAGAGATTTTCAATTCAAAGGTCAGGCACACTGTTCACCTTTTTGTTACCTCACGATTTGTTCCCCATATCAGTTTAACGCATAATTTATTGAGAACCACCTGATACATTGTGGGTTTTGACAGTGTCCACTTTCTGTCACGGCAGGCAGGAGTGAAGAACCCAAATGCAGACTCATACACGGAAGCGAAAACTTAAAGTCAAAAAGCAGCTTTATTGCTGGCACTAGTAAACACAGAACTGAACTAAACAATACTACGAACAGAACACAGAACACATATATGACGGGACGGCGCGACACTGAGCAGACTAAACTAGACACCATATACAGAGGGTAACAGGGGAAAGAGGTAGCAGCAGTTAATTACACATGACAAAAGCTAAACTGAATGTGATGACTGAATGGTAAATGGTAAATGGCCTGCATTTGTACAGCGCTTTTCTAGTCCCTAAGGACCCCAAAGTGCTTCACACTACATTCAGTCATTCACCCATTCACACACACATTCACACACTGGCAATGGCAAGCTACATTGTAGCCACAGCTGCCCTGGGGCGCACTGACAGAGGCGTAGATACAGACTGAAGACTACCAAAGAAAAACAGGAAGCACACAGAGACGCAGACAGACCTAACAGAGGAGGAATCGCAAAAGCAAACCAAGACTAGAAATACAGAATCAAAACCCAAGACACTAACAATGACACATAATAACAAAACCGAGGATAAATAATAATACAAAACCGAAAACACTGGGTCACCGACCCAGGATCGTGACACTTTCCACTAATCCAAATTCCCAGGACTTTCATTTCATCTTTAACCTCCATCCATATTATGGGTATCTTTACTGAGTAAGATGCTCTAACCTGGACATAACCTAGCTAAATAACATAGGGTGCTATTCTCATTACAAATAAGAATAGCACCTAACTTTACAAAATTAACATTTCTATTCTCCTAACAAAACGGTAATGAAAACCTGAAACTTTATATTCTGCCCTCACTCCTACACTGGATACAGTTATGCAGATAGATAAACTCCTCGACAACTGACAGGTGTATTGACCCTTTTATTGACGCTGCCTTCAATTATCAACAGAGTGAAACTACAAACAGAAGAAATAAGCAATATTCAGTCTATATATTCACACGATAATGCAAATCAGTTGACTAAACTAGCTAACATTGGAAAGAAAGTAAATCTGAATACAGTACACCTTAGGGCTGCACGATTTTGCATAAAATGAGAATCACGATTTTTTGGCTTAGAATTGAGATCACGATTCTCTTTTCCAGTATAAATATTTATTGCACTTATTAACTGCACATCAACTTCGTAACAGTTGAGACTGAACATAAAAACAATAAACAAACATAAAAACAACAAATGCCTCACGTTTTGTTGTTGCTGCAAAATGTTGTACTGCTTGAAATTCCGTCTCCACCGTTGCTCGACACTGCGTGTATAGAGCAGGTAGTGCAACAATAGAAAAATAGTTGCGGGACGGCACTGTGTAGCGTTTGTCTAGGGTGTTGATCATTTTCCTAAATCCCTCGTTTTGCACAGTGTTGATGGGAGCCATATCTTTGGTCAGGTGATAAGTGATAGCCTCCGTAATTTCTTTGTGCCTGCGGGAGTTCAACAGGTATAGGGAAGCGCTGTATAAGGTTCCCGTTATTGATGTTTGGTTGGTTGACCGGGACGGATTTTCTCCTGTCACTTTCTCGTCATCCCTGACGTGCTCTCCGTTGTTTTTTCCCTGCTAATTTTAGCATCACACGGCACAGCTTCTGTATCACGTGGTATAAGGCTCTGCCCATGTCATTTGTTGAGCAGGAAGAGTGAGTGCTTGTTTTCATGCAGAGTACGTCCTGGATCAAAATGCGGTACAATCGTCGTCGTCGTCTTTTTTTTTTTTTTAATCGTTGTCATTTGGAAATGAGATCGCACATAAGTATGAATCGAGATCGCGATTTTCTAACGATTAATCGTGCAGCCCTAGTACACCTTTAACCATAAAAGTGCATAAATAATAGCAAATATAGTTGCATTAACTCTTGTTCAACTTAAATACTCACAAGCGATGCTTTCTGTAAAACAACGAAGAGGATGGATGCAGATGTTTATCCGAACAACATGCTGAGTCAGTCTTTTCTCAAAGTGTGCTGCATTACTAACGCTACAGCTAATAACAAACAAATCTTGGCATGAAAGAACTGTAGTGACTCTTGCTGGTGGGAAGAAGAACTACACCAGCACACTTTACATTTTATAACTATTTTACTGCACTATTTAATGTATGACCTTGTCTGGGGTACTTCTTCGTATGCTAAAGTAGGCTGTCCTAATTTGTGGTAAGTAAACATTAGCTTTTGTGTTCTCATTCTGAAAGGATACTTTTTCCTCTCGGTCACTGCATTAAGTCTCAAGTTGGGGCATGTGTTCTGTGTCTTTATTGTTCTCTTGTGTCTCTGTATCCTCTTCATGTTGGTTGCTCTAGTATCACTGTTCCACTTTCTGGATTGAACTCTGACGCCTCTGTCCACCATGGCTGTTTAAAATGTTCCCCCTGTTCTGTCGGAGGTCCTCTGATTCCTCTCTATTCATCCTCATCCTCTGAACTGTGCTCTTGCTTATGTTCCTGTTGTTTTTCTGTTTTTGCTTTCTCAGTTCTGCATGTCAGTTGAATTTTTCCACTGGCAAGAAGTCACACGACTGCAGGAGGTTCCTGTGGACAACCCTGATATGCCCCTTGACATTCTCTGGCTTGATTTCATATACTGGGCTATCCTTATGTTTCCTGTGTGTCACCCAAAACACCTAGCCCTCCCAGAATGATCTCAATTTCCCTGGTCCTCTATCTTCTCACTGAAATTTCAGACCAGTAATCTGCACTGTGGGTATAGCTCCGTACCAAGTGTTTTGCTGCCATAGAAAATTTTCCCTGATCAACTTTCCTTATAGGCTGTTGCTGAGGCCAGTTTGTAACCATTCTTCATGCAAGCCTTCCACTTCTCAGTATAGTCTTGATGGGAAGGGCTTTGGGCTTTAGCTGTGAGACCAAAAACCATCTGAATAGGGAGTCTGGTGTTTCGCCAAAACAAGAGGAAGTAAGCAGTAACTTGTAAGCACCAACAGTAAGCAACCTGGCCTCACTGTGCATACAGTTATAAGCATGGACCGCCTTTACCACAGATGCTTTCCAATCTGCTTTTGCTCCATCTGCAAGGTTGCAAAGCATGGCCAGCAGTATTCTACTAAATCTTTCTACCTGGCCATTTCCCCAGGGGTGGTATAGTGTGGTTCTGGATCTCTTAACTCAACTGTATTCTTACAGCTTGGCAAAGAGTTTGTTTACAAACTCTCTTTCCTGGTCCTGATGGAGCCGTATTGGAAACCAAAATTCAAGATGAAATCTCCAAATATTTTTTCTACAGCTGTTTTGGCACTTTTATTTCTGCAGGGGTTAGTCTGAGCAAATTACGTAAAGTGGTCCATTGCCACGAGGATATATTCATACCCTCCCTTACATTTCTCTAGATGCAATTAAAAAAAAGAAAATGAAGGTTTTCGATTGCCCTAGTCAAAGTCTGGACTTAGATACGATCG